GACGCGGGCAAAGTCGAGAACAACAGCTAGTCTATACTAATATTATAAAGAATAAAGTTTTATATTTTTTATGTATTGTATAACTCAAAAACTACTGGGCTAATTTTTAACCGTTAGAAATTATTATTGTTAATAATTTATTTGTGAGGAACATATGCTACATTTTTGAACTTCACGCGGGCGAAGTCGCGAGTAACAGCCTGTTGTTAACCTAAATTGAAATATTACAAAATAATAATTTTTCGTTGAAGTTTAGTTTGTTATGTTAGAATGTCATGTAAAATACTTCGTTGTTAGTTCATTTCTTTACTATAAAGGCAGTGTTTGTTACTTTCAATAACGTTTTGGTAGACAAATGAATTGGTCATATCCCACGGGCAAATGTCCAAGATCAATGACGTGTCAAACTGCAGCACTACAGTATTAAGTGACACTACGGCTATTCAATGCATATTTTTATTGACGTCATAGTACACATAGTCACCGTTGTTCATATGACATCATATTTAACATATCTCTCTGTGCTTGTTAAACCATAATATACCTACTTTAAGAAAAACATTATAAGAGCGTAAACCTGAAACTAAACTATCGTATAACTGTTTAATCTCGCTTTGTTTCATATGAGCTTATAAGAAGGTGCACACGCTCGATTTTTAGTTGTGCAACTAAACAGATGAATTGGCTGCGAAATATTGGACAATCGCATAACAGTTGTGCGAGAGTAGTCAAAGAGCGCCTGCTCATAAGGGGATGTAATGACTGAAGATACATCCGCGGATAAACCACGCATGTATTACATAAAGGTGTTGGAAATGAATCAGAGACGCGATATGTGCGGTCGTTAAAAAATAAACATATAAGAATACAAATGTGCGTACACACGTCAGTAGGCTTTAGCGTAGACAAATTGGACATTTTCCTGTTCTTTGTATTGTAACATCGGACGGCTAGGGTACGTGTCTAAATTCACGATTCACAATCGATATTATTTACCGATTATAGATCGATCACGTGCTATCGAATGCTTTTGTAAGGAAGACAAAGGATATCCTGTGATATAATACTCACGTACATTGCAACCTCATTAACCTATGTCAGTCGTCTGCGTTACTACGTGTCACGAATGCATTCTCTTTTGCATATCTTTTTACTCTCTTTATAGATTAAAGGAAAATGATACACCCTTTATTTTACCTTATACCTGTTATTATAGGAACACATAAAGTATCTTTTACATATATTCTGATATCTGAATATTTCTACTCATTGTTTGAAAGTTTATTTGTTTTTACGTCTCGTCATAACGTCATTGTCCTCCACATAACTCTATCATACGTCATCTCAGTCATCACTCCCTTTTTGATCATGTCACCTTTCACGCAATCCATCCATCTCTTTATAGGTCTACCTCTACTGATGTACCCATCCACACTCATAACTTTCGTATTGCTCGGATTTTTCTTTTATAAGCCTAAAGTAAATTCAAAAATTTTGTAAATCAATATCCTATATTGAAAAGCAGTGTTTGAGTGCTACTATTAAGTGGTCATAAATATCGAATCAGTCGATTTTTTTTACGACTTTATAAATTCAAATTTAAAATAACGACAGCAACATTAACCGACAAAGGAAATTTATCTTGATACAATTAAAAGCATTTTGTATTATAAATAGTAGCGGAATAGCTTTCGATAATTTATCGAATTCAGCCGTCTTTGACTACAGACCTTTTTTAGGTCCCGTTTGGCGGCTTTAAATAAATTAAATTACATTTAAGTAAAACATTTCATTCGAAATTAATAAAGTTTTCAAGTCATTTAGGGGTAGAATTAATCCTTTTTTTAGAAAAAAATATTACTTTTGTCTACGTCTCTGATGTTAAATTAAAGCCAAGTAAGGTATCGGCGGTTAGGCGACAAAAATTTGCATTAGTTAGTTATCTAGCAAACGTACCCGGCGACAATTATCTGTGCGAACATTGCTTACAATTTAATTAACACAATAAACACGCATATGCAAATCCCTAATTCGATTTCATGGCTAAATTCAATTTACAAAATCAGCGAATTCAGATGGAATTTGGATTATTTACATAAAATAATGCGTCGTAGCATATTTTATATTGTTTTACTTGGTTTATAACTTAGTCTTTTATGGGAGAAATAAAATGTAATTTTGAGTTTGCCGTCCTAAAAATTTCGTTATAACCTAAAATAATAGTAACGAAGAAGTGGACGCGAAAATTTTCCGTTCTTTTTACATGAAATATTTACTGTAAACATGATTATGAATATGCTTTAAATTATATTTTAGTATCTAGAAAAGAAAATTTGTTCACTGACTTATAAATTAAATTAACTAACTACATACTTTAAAACATAAACAACTAAACAAAATTGTTGTAGTTTTAACGAAGGATTAACTTTTTTTCATCAAAAAATGTCTGACTAGGATATGCGCAAAGTCATTTGAAAGTCGATGGACTTCAAATGATACAAATCTAGCGTAATTAATTCTATTGAATTTAAATGAAGATATTGCCTTCTTCTTTTAGAATTTACAGTTTATATGTGTGTGAAAGGGACGAAAGATCAGAAACAACAGAGCACGTGTTACAGCTTAAGTTATATTCATTGTCGACAGGTAAAGGATGTCGAAGGAGTTTAATGTATTATTATAACTATCCAACTAAACTATACAAAAATACGTACATACAGAAAATTGCGTTAGTTATAGCTAATTTAACTTTCATTAGAATGTCGACTTTGTTTTTCTTTAGTTGATTTTAAGTTCCTAATGTCTCATGGTGTGTCATTTCTGGGACTAATCCTTTTTTGATCGCCATGACGCAAACGTCTCGGCCCAAATGCGAGCGCTTATATCATCGATTACCAATTATCGATATTGTATCAGGTTTCAAATAAGATGGAAATACCCGGCCATACACGTAGAAATACAGATAACAATAGACATAGACCACCGGCGGTTTGCTTGCCAGAATTCGATATAATCGATATCATTATCAATGTTAATTTAATTGATCTAAAAATATTACCATTCGATGCAGCATTCGAATTTTAAATATTCAATAACAATTTGAATTTCAGTTGTGGAACTGCAAATAATGCGATGACAGATTGTAAATCTTATCCGAGGTCGACGCCGAATACTATTTAGAAAAAAAAATATAGAACTCTATATAGGTTATGTTGTATAAATTGTTAAAGACAATGGCTGTACGGAACGGTCAATTAAATGAATATTTCATTAATTTTTTATGTATTCAAATTTTTGGTTGTTGAAAAAAATACGCAGGTGTTTAATATCTAAGTTATGTAAAGCGTGTTACGGATAATTTACTTAGCTTACAAATTAACTAAAAACATTTAAATTTGTCCTACGGTAGAGTTTATTACGTCTTTGTTTTGTCCTTCCATCAAGGCCCTACGTAAATTATTGTGTAAAAATAAATATATCAATAAGCCCTTGCATGTTGTACATTCAAATCGCTAGAAACCTTTCCACTTACCACATATTGATTATGTACTAACATTAGACGCTTACTTATTCTACAGGGAATGTTTAAATTCGTCAATGTTAAAGCTACATGTTTGTTCAAGTTAGCCGGCAAATTCGTTCTCGGTAAAAAGGTATGATGGATCGAAGGAAATCTACATGACAGTCGAATGATGTCTCGCATTAAAATCCGATTTTCCGCGAAGTTGTAACCGTATTCTAAGCATACGTATGAAATAAGTAATCATTGATGGCGCGCGCTAACGGTGACGCGCGGCGTTGCTCACTTCTCGTCGCAGCTCACCCGCCGCCTCGCCACTCGCCGCTCGTCTGATTGTATTCAAATATAACATAATTCTGGTAATTTATACAGCGTGTTTCATGTCACAACTTACGCACGTGGAATATAACTGCATATCAAATTAATTACATTTTTATTCCTTGGAGTTCTATTTATACTGTTTACGTATTTGTTATGTACGTAATGATTGTATAAAATTTAAAATTTTGATTATGGTAATAGAAGTTTAGGGGTAATCCAACCGTTATATGGGCATAGTCTTACGACATACGACTTTTCCGTACGTTGCAACTTGGGTTCACTTCGAGTTTCTTTTGTTAATTACTGAAGATAAGCGCTCAATATTTTCAAGATATCTTCAAGTCGGTCGATAGTAAAACCAAAAAGATCATACTGTATACAGGTGCGCACAGCGTGTTGTTTTATTCGCGCGGCGTCCACATCTCATTGGCGGAGCAGCGCGCGTCGCGGTCTATGAATATCGTTACTGGATTTAGCACTTTTTTAATCTATGATATACACCGACGGGCGCATTCTTTGACGGAATATCTTTAGGCTTTTCGATATTTTAGCATACGTAAGACGGGCGCGAGCAGGCGTCGTACAATGCTAATACGTCCCTGGCCCTATTGGAATGCTTTTCACGTGTAAACAATACTCGCTAACTCGCTATCGACTTTTTGTAGACTCCGACACGTGTCCACTGTCTGTACGGAATCATTTAGTTCACAGCATAGATATATTTTTATTTAGTAACTAGCTGTTCCCGTGCGACTTCATCCGCATAAAATTGTCAATTGCAAATGTCAAACTGACATGATATGACAAACCTTGGCAATTTCATTTCCTTAATGTTGGCAGCAACTTGTGGTCTCTTTCCTACATTAGGGATTTTATCCAAAATATTTAACCCCTAAGTTTATTGGCGTGAAAATATATAGCCTAAGGCGTGACGTAATTGTAGGGCTTTTTATTAAAAAAAGAATTATTCAAAAATATGCTGTAATTGCTGACATCTTGGGCAACAAAGAAGTGTGTGTTTACGCTTTATTATAATAGTATAGGTAAAATAATTTGGAATGCATTTAATTCTCTTTTACTTCTTCCACTTCGTTTCTTCTTTGACGTAAGGAAGGAGAGGTTAAAGCTAAGCGCCATCTGCGCTATAAATGTAACACAATTTGTAGAACACATTGACATGTATATTGCAATAATGAAACTAATTTTTAATCGAATATATTAACAATAATTCATAACATCAGAATCATTAAATAGCCTCTATTTAGAATTTTGGTTTTCTTTACATTTTTAAATTTTTAAAATAAGTAAAATATTAAATCTTGTTCTCGGTGACTTTAGTGCCGTCTTGTAGGTTGGTGTTTGTGTTGACACGAGAGCTGCGAGCCAGGGATGGACTCCTCACGTGCAGTACTGACTCCACCAACACCTCCTCCACGAACGGCTTGCCTTCTACATCTGGAACACACGTCAAGTTACAAATAAAGTGTATTTTATGAAAATAATAAAATAATAATTAAGAGGGAAGAAAGTATGGATGGATTGTGTGAAAGAGGATATGCTTAAGAAAGGAGTGTATTCAGATATGACGGCTGATAGAGATGTATGGAAGAGCAGCACATACTGTGCCGACCCTCCGTAAGAGATAAGGCGAAGTTGATCATGAATTTCGGATAGATATATTCAAGGTTGATTTTTGTATGTTTTTTTAAGATTTTGCTATTTAAATTTAAGTAATTTCTTCAATTAAAACGTGATTAATGGTGTTTTAATGTGAAATAATAAATATTGGTATATGTTAATTTAAATTCTTGCTTTAATTACGTCATTTATGAAAATATATTAAGTTATAGAACATATTGCTAGCTATTAGTAGAATAGGCATTAATTAATAAAAAAACAAGTTAATGTTACTAAATGAATCTCTATCTTGTAATTAAATATTTATGTATATAATTTAGATCTTAATATAATGATGTTAATTATTATTTTCAATTTAGCTCTGGCTAAATTTTTTTTTCAAAAACAATTACTCATAAGTCAAAGTAGCCGAGTCATGCCACAGGTGAAAAAGGTAAAAATGGCATAACAAAAGAATTAATTTAATTCACTACTTGTAATACGCCCTTGATAAGCTGGCCTCTTTGAATAAGTATCTTATAAAAAGGGCTTTAGTACTCGTCAGACCTGTTCTTTATTTACGAATATTTTTAATTTGTTTTTTATATTAGTTGATTATTTATTAATTTATTAATCATACTAATAGTATAAATGCGAAAGTTTAGATGGATGGATGTTTGTTTGTAGCCTAAACGGCTGAACGGATTTAGATGAAATTTAGTATAGGTGTAGAGGATAGTCTTGAAGAACACATAGGCTATTCCCTTTTGTTTTTATTTATTCCACGCGGATGGAGTCGCGGACGAAAGCTAGTTTACTAATATTTCCTATAACCATTCCAACTAAGCTCTTGGATTGTGCTTGGATATGGTTTACAATAGTCGAATGGCGGGATTCGAACCATCGACAGCAAGATCGGTAGTATCGCAAATCATTATGCTATTGGCGCTTCATTTATAAGCAATGATTGTGTAATTAATATGAAACGGAGCGAAACAGGTTCTCTAAAGATGGATTTCGTCCATATTAGGGTAAAAATATGTAGCCTGGATATTCCACTTATACTCTTAATAGTCATATGTTTTATTTGTTGAAGTAAAGAGTAACTACTAATTGGTTTTCTAATACTTGGACAGTTAAAATTTTCCTTGAAAATAATTCCTAAAATAGTAGTGGTTTTTTTAATATTGCAGACTCGAATAAAAATTTAACAACACACAAATTAGAGAAGTACAATTTAACATGGTTTCTGGATCTTTGCCATCTATGCACGGTAATTCTAAAAAGCCACGACTATCAATTAATCTGCGTAAAATGTTTGTTGCATTTAAACATTAAATAACATAAACCACACCTTACTGAATAACGCAATTTATCAACCTTCAATGGAAATCAAGTGGCGCCTCTAATGAACTCTCAAGTTAAAATATAAGTGTTTATGTTTCTCACCTGGGTTGATTTGCAGTTTTGATTGTGGTGCTGTTTTGACAAGGGATATAGATATAATAACAAACGACAATATAAGTATGGCTCGCATCGTGAACGGACAGAAACTGCGCTTTCGAACGTCTATCGGTGCATGTTAGTTGGTAGGGTTATTCTGTAACCAGTTTGTAACCGAATTGTTAATCGTAATTGAATTATTGGGTTATTAAAATAACGTTAAAATCTTGTTAGATAGTCTGTTTCTGCATCTGAAGTTTTCAATTTTATAATTTTTCAAGTTATTTTTTTTTATTTATTACTGATAACTTGTAACTAATTTTTTATTTTTCCTACAGATAAATGCAAGACTGTATGAGTTCATTATTTAAATCGTATAATAAACATCTATGAGAATAACTCTGGGCAACGATTGCATAACCGTAGTGGCTTGGTGAATGTTTACTTGCGATTCCCGATTGCCCCATCGCAGGGCAAAGTGCTAAAGGAGTGGGGATGTCTGTCACTACCATCATACGGTATTAGACAATCAGATGATATTACAGCAAAACCTCTATAACTTCAAAAAATAATATGTTCCCTTCCCATCAGAGCCCAAACCTCTATAACATAGACACTTGATAATTTAAAACCACTAAAACTAAAAATATTTTGCGTTTCCCTTGCACTTTAACTTATCGAGGTTCTATGTATTAATTATTTTAGCGCCATTAAATACCAGATTTTGCGACTTGTACTGTGAAAGCAAACCAGAACCGAAGCAGAGCGTAACGGCTTTTGTCATACAAGAATACGGATGCGGTGATAGCATTATTATGTTCGAATTCGGTGTTTGATATGTAAAGAAAGAGATTAAGGACCCTGATGTATATATTTTATTTATTTTGCATTTAATTAAACTAATTATTCAGTTACAAACATTTATTTTCATCTTTACCTATGATAATTAAAAATAGAAATAATTGAACTGGATAAATTCTCTTCATTTGTTTTAACCATGACACTAATCTATACAAAGCGTAAACACACACTTCTTTGTTGCCTAAGATGTCAGCATGACGAACTGGCGTCTAAGTTGCGGGCGACTATCGGGGACGTCGCTCGGGTCTCCCGGCCGGAGCTCTGCGCAGAGATGCGCATCTCCGGATTGGGAGATGCGGCCACTAGCCAGGCAGTGGCAGCGCAGGTGGCAAAGGTAGGGGACTGCACTCCGGAAAGCGTGAAGGTGGGTGTCATAAATCGCCCGCCTGGCCGTCAGGGCACTGTTTGGGTGAAATGTCCGGTCCTGGCGGCCAAGAAAATCGTCGCCGCCGGAAAGTTCACGGTCGGCTGGTCGACGGTGAGGGCAACCCTCCTCGAAACGCGGCCGCAACGGTGCTACCGCTGCTTGGTC